TGTGTGTGTGTGTGTGTGTAACGTGTGATTACACACACAAAAAACACTTCTTATTGTTTATAATGTAAAAAATTATATAGTGCAGCAATTTAGAATCAATGAAATTATATGTTTAAAACATCAATATTTCTGATGCCAAATCATCAGGTATAAATGTTTTATATAATATCTTGTTTAGTTTCATTTCATGCCAAATTTTCTAATAAACAATGACTCTGTTAATAGTATGCAGAGCAGTGGTTCCCAAAGTTGGGCTCAGGACCCCTCTGCGGTCATGAAACATAAAGTGAGTGTTTTTACATGATTTGCAGACATTCCTTTTAGTGCAAATAAATTTTTAGTGGAAAACTGTCAAATCAATAATAATAAATGAATAAAATACTTATTAGGTTTATTGATATTGTTATTATGCCCATGTTTAACAGTTATTAGCAAACCTTGCTTACATAAACCAGTAATACCTGGGGTCACAAGGTTTTACAACTGTTTGAAAACCATTGATAAAGAAAACGTTGTTTTTTAAACCAAAACTTTAAAAATCTGCAGAGGAGCTGATTTCTGTTGCATTAACATGATGCAGCAACAAAAAAGTTTTAATAAAAATCAGATGGGATCTCCATAAACACATATAAAATCAATGACTCAGAATAACTTCCTGGAGCAGGCTGTGTTGTACATTTTGTGCTGCAGACGGGTTCCTGTTTTTGTTTTTTTGATCATCTTCTCGCTCAGCTTTGTTGTTTTGCTTTTTGCTGAAATTGTTTTCTGTCATTTTGCTTTTAGTTGTATTTTGTGAAGTCTGTTACCTCTGTTTTGTTTCAGCAAGTTTTATCATCTGTTCTCTCAGCTATTGCACACTAGACCTGAGTCAGTAATCAGCACATCTGCACTTTGTTACTCTTCCACTCCCTCACTGTTTATAGGTCAAAGTTTTCCGTTCTTTCTTTGTCACATCCTTATTGTACTCTTTATATCCACCCAGCCATGCTTCTGATAATTCTGCTTCATGTTGTTTCTTTTGGCTTTCTTTTATTTTTAATATTTCATTAATAAAATCTGTCTCTTCTAAGCATGTTTCCAGGTCCTCGAACTCCTTTTACAAATAATAAAACATTAACTTCCTAAAAGAAAATTATTTGATTTTTCTTTCTTTTTTTCAATGTTGGGCAGCAGCAGCTGCAGCTGGACAGACTCACACCTCAGCGCGCTGCAAAAAGCCTCAGAGCATCAAGGCTGATTAGGACGTTACCTTAGCTGAGGGACCAGACGGGTGGAAATGCAATGATTGGTATTCAGCAAGGCTGCGTCGCCTTTTAGTACATCTGCAGAACCAACAGCGCATGAATATTCACCGAGCAACTGTTAACACAGCACTGACTGTGATTTTCTCCTGCACTTCATTAGGCTAATTGTCTAACAGTGAATTCAGAACTCAATGAACTAATGCAAACATGACAGAGTCTGGCTGAGGGGTGGGGTGGGGGTGGGGGGATGAGTGATGTGTTCAGGTGGATGAACACCAGTGTGGATGTGAAGGTTACGTGCTGCAAACGTACTGTTTTATGTGCTTCTCTGTGGATCTTTGAGCGCCCTGCACTCTGAAAGCTTTAATTATCACCCTAACAAATAATTGATACGTCTGGTATATGGAATGATGTCTGGATTGTGGTTGAGCACATCAATACATGACAGCAAATGACAAAGTATGTTTTCCACACATGGAACAAATGTGTTTAAATGTGCAAATGCATGTGCAGAACCGTAGGTGGAATCTATAAAAAAAAAAAAAGGCACTGGAATCATAGTCAAACCTCACTGATTGGTTTAGCTCATTGACTCCAACAGCATAWTGAGAACTTAGCAAGAGGTATTTTGCTAACAGATAAGCAAGGTGAGGGCTAAAGTTTGAATCAAAGATCTTCTGCAATAAGTAGCACTTCCATTGCTGACTTACACTATCTGCATAGGTGTGTTTGCAGTGGGGTTAGGGGGATTATCTTCTCCTTGCTGCCGACTGGTCTCCTGTCTATCCTCATCCTCCTTGATCTAAGTGCTGCTTTTGATACAATCTCTCATTCTATCCTCCTCAACAGACTCACATCCATTGGCATCTCAGGTACTACGTTTGACTGGTTCAAATCTTATCTTTCTGACCACATTCAATTCATCCAGATAAAATCCTTCCACTCTGAGTCATTCCCCGTCTCCACTGGCGTGCCCCAAGGCTCTGTCCTTGGACCCCTTCACTTTATTACTTACCTCTTTCCTCTTGGTTACATTTTCCGCAAGTTTGGTGTCCGTTTCCATTGTTATGCCGATGACACACAGCTCTACCTGTCAACCAAGCCAAACTCCACACACCCTCCCTCCATCCTAGTACCCACTGCTCGCCTCTCCACCATGGGGAGCAGGGCCTTCACCTGCTCTGCACCTCTCCTCTGGAACTCTCTACCGCCTGACCTAAGAAACACCACCTAAATTCCTGTGTTCAAGTCTGCTTTAAAAAGACGTCTCTTTAGATTAGCATATCCATCTTAACTTCATTTGTAAACAATGCCCTTAACTCATGCCTGCTTGTCTCTAACTGTATTTTCACACATTCTTCTATGATGTGTCTAAAGCTGTAAGTGTCCTTGGGTGTCCTGAAAGGTGCTTTTCAAATAAAATTATTATTATTATTGTTATTATTACTCCCCAAAATAATTTGATCCTGTCAATATACCCCCCTTCCCAATAAAATTACATCATTTGCTCAAACACAATAAAAAATTAACT